TGCTTAAGCTACACACAGCTCCACCTGTACACAGGTATAACCAATGTTAAGTTCCCCTATTTTGTATTCAAAAAGCTTTCTGTGGCAAATAGCAGAGTTATTTTTAAAGTGGTCTGGGACTAAGGTAATTTAATCCATATAAAGAGCTATTTATTTGTGCTTTATGGAACAATTGATGTATAATTCAAGTTAATGCTATAATGGTGTGTTCTATATTTTCATTATCGAGTCTAGACCGATTCTTTATTGATCTACAAAGTCATGGCTTTGTACCTGCTCTAGAAACAAATCTGTCAATTACTCATCACAAAAATGGTAAACGTTTCCTAGAAGAAATTAGGCAGCCATGTGATGAATTTGGACCATTCAATTGTAATTTGTAAAAGGAATGGGAATTACAGAACATTGGAGGTCATATAATTATTGCACCTTATTATGGCTAACACAAGCCCTTCTTAGTTTTAAAAGGAAAGTAAGCATTATTTTTAGTAAATATGTATTTTGAGTTATTATGAAATACATTTTTGTATTACATTCACATTTTACAAAATGTTCTTCATATTTTTGTTTTTGTCTTAAATATGAAGATTTGTAGATTAGCCTCTATTTGGAGTTATTATGAAATACATTTTTGTATTACATTCACATTTTACAAAAATTTTTTTCTTCATATTTTTGTTTTTGTTTTAAATATGAAGATTTGTAGATTAGCCTCTATTTGGAGCTCTCATTGACATAGAGCCCCAGAGAGAGTACATTGTTTTAATGGCTGTGAAGCTGGCCATACATTATACAATTTTCTTATTCAATTTCCTTTAGATTTACCTTCAACTATGTAGTGCTAAGGCCTGCCTGATTGCATACAAATTGAAAGTCTTTTGGATTGACCTTATATTATATGGTTTTGGTAAATGTAAAGGAAAATTGTACAAGAAAACGGTATAATGTGTGGCCAGCTTAATGAATTAAAGTGGTTGTAAACCCTCTCTTATACCCAGTGAAATGACTGCCCTCAGGTGATACACAGAGATGGAACAAATCCTTCTACATAAGTTGTACCTGTTTATCTGCTGTATTCTCTTCTCTACATCCATTCAAAGTGCAGAATTTACACAGGATCTCTCAGCTCTGAAAAGCAAGGGGTGGGGAGTTGAAATTACACTAAATGAGGAGAGCTCTGGGAGCTGAGCTGATTGGAGGGAAGGGACACACCCTTCTTCACACAGCACACAGGAACAGAGCTGAGGCTGTCAATCTGCTGGAAGTCCCTCCCCTCTCACCATTTTTCTCTTGGTATCAGGAAAATTCATCAGAAGTTATTCACACTGATAGCAGAGAAATGAGGCAGCAGACAGAAATGACACTTAGGGGTTTATTTACTAAAGCTGGAGAGTCCAAAATCAGACTCACTTCTGCATAGAAACCAATTAGCTTCCAGGTTTCATTGCCAAAGCTTCATTGAACAAGCTGAGGTTAGAAGACGATAGGTTTCTATGCAGAAGGGAGTCTGATTTTGGACTCTCCAGCTTTAGTAAATAAACCCCTTAGTGTTCTGGATTGAGAAAAGTACACACTATAGAAGGATATGCTTTTGTTCATATTTAATGTCTGAGGTTTACAACCACTTTAAGTTGTAAAACTGAGCACTGAAGCACAACCATTGTGTAGCACTACAAAGCAGGAACCCGAGGCTGTCCATGCAATGGGTAAATATGGCTACCTCCATGTACATACTGTATATAATTATACATGATACAAAGAAACACTATTTTGAAAAACATTTATGCTTATTGATGATTATTTACATTAAATTTAATATTGTTATAAATGTTTATTTAAAAAAATACTGTCTCTAAGAAATATGGCATTAGCATGTAAGGGTGAGGTTGGATGGTATTTTTATATGCTCAATTTGAAGCATATTATACCCCATAGACACAAGATCAGTTTTATGTAGGTTTATTGGATAAATGCTATGTTTGTAACATAAGGAAGCTGAATTATGGGGAACAAGTATTTGACTCATCTGAAGGTCGAGTAATTGCAGTGGTTATGGAGAAGAAATGTGGAGGCCACTGGAAAAGTAATGTGACCGACCCAAACGGGAAAGGTGCTTTTGGAGGTGACTGCAGGCTAGTCTCTTGCCTACTGACGATGGGGCCCTAGCATCTAAGTAGGCTCTATTCTTTGGGAGGTGTGTGCACCTGGGGGGACCTTTGGAGTAGTTTTACTTTGGAATCAAGTCTATGTCTTCCCGAAACACACAGACTCTAAGAACTGGAGGGCCAGGATACAGATTTGGGGTCTCTGTACTCAAACCATCATTGACTGCTTCAACCCCCCTTCCTAGACTCAACAAATGTTAATATATTCAGCTCAAAACAACCTGAGGTCAATGCTGAGGTCTCTTGTTGTAATCTGCTTTTTAAGGTGTTATGTGCTTATTGTTGTGTATTTGTTCCATTGTTAATTGAGTCACCTATTGTTTCTGTCTGTTGGTTAGTCCTCCTGGAGGTTTCTACATGATGGGATTAGTCTTGTGTCAACTTTACCTTGTTATCTAATCAGTGTGGGATGTTTATCCCAATCTGTAATATTTGTTTTTATTTTTCATGTGGGGGCTGCCCTATTTATGAAGTGTATAAAAACCTGTATTTCTGCTCAATAAAGAATATTTGTTTTTATTTTTCATGGGACTGCCCCTATTTCTGAAGTGTATAAAACCTGCATTTCTGCTCAATAAAGAGTTCCTTGTTGCAGCTAAGCTAATGTTGTCTAGTCCTTGGGTGCAATGCCCAGCTATAATACCTTGGTCCTGTCTCCCAGTGACGAGGAAGCAGGTGGGGTGCCAGGCGGTCCATCACAGGTAAGAATTTATTTCTTTATTGATTAATACCCTATTGTGACAGGTCACTTTAATACATATAAATGCACTCAAATGCAGCCTTTGCTGTTCTTTAAATACTTTTGTTGAAAACATTTCCTCTGGGTGATCTATGTACAGTACATTGCAGGGATTTTCACAAACTTTGCTGCAGATTCTTACCCTTTTGTATTCTGAAGAAATAGCTGTTTGTTTGCCTGTGCCCACGTGCCAAGTCAATGTGAATGGGAGTGATTTTATAAGTATCAATCTGCTACTGCACTTTCAAGCCTCTAATGAGGAAAGGGGCAGGGTCTGAATCTTTTTAGACGTTATTTCCCTTTGGGAGCATCTCACCAAAAATTAAATTTTTGTTACAGGGCATGCCCAATATCTAACTTGTATCTTAGTGCAGACTTCAATGAGCCAATCACACAAGCAGGAAATTACATTTATGGGGGCGTTATGTACATCATCTGTGTTCAGGACATCTCCAGGTTGTCACATTACAGAAAATTACAGCTGCAGATTTAAAAGAAAGGCCATTTTTAATAGCATTCAATTACAATATGACCTGTATAGCAATTGTATAAGCTATATTTTTTTCATTTGTTACTTTTTCCCCACAAAAGTGGAGTTACCCTTTAAAGCGATATTAAACCCAAAAGCAAACATTTATTATATTGCAGCTTACCAATTCTTAGATGCGGTGGCTGCATTAGTTTCCTTTCTAGGTCTTCTTTTTCTTTTTTTATTTTTATCTGGTGATCTGACCAGCAAATCTTTTGTTTATTAGAAGCTCAAGCTCTTCAGCAGAATGTATCAGTTTACATGAATGAGACTAACCACTTAACACTATCAGGTGTGTTTTAAAATTATTAGCAGTAAAGCATGCTTGTTATACTCACTGTGGAACTTAAAGGGTTACTCCTCTGCATTATGTAGAAAGGCAGTTTGATCCTGACTTCTCTGATACTCCCCTTCTTTCAGTCTCTTATCTCCTGATAAGACATACTGTGTGGAGTCACTCTGCACATGCTCAGTTTGGTGTATATTGCTAGAGAGGGTTTTTTTTTGAGAGAGAGAATGCATGTGATCAGCACAGGGCCAATCAGCACTGTCCAGACAGATGTCAGGGGTTCTGCATCCTCCTAGAGCAGAATGAAAACTCCTCCCACAAGCTTTAACATGTGCTCATCTGGACACTGATAGAAGGCAGAAGACTGCTCTAACTGCTAATGAGAAAAGGTATTTAGCAGTTTATATTTACTAAAATAATAGAATTTCCATGTTCTGTGTACTGTGGAAGACCAGATATAGTGAATGCAAGGTCCTGGGTTTAGTAACACTCTAAGTACACACTAAAGCTGGCTTTAGACTGCAGGCTGAACAAAAAGACTAACAGATTCCTCCATCTGCACTCTACAGCGTGGATGCATGAATCGTCCACTGTGTCTATTGTATTTTGATAGTCCACCTTGCCATCTGTCAAAATACGTGAACGGTAGCTGCAACTAAATGGATGCAGCTGCTTTTGGATGACAGTTTTCTGCATGGCTTCTTCGAGGGATGTCGCACAGGAGGCAGCTGACAGGGCCACCCACTGATCGAATATTGTACAGTGTATGCCCAGTTTAAGCTGTGATGTATAGATGCAAACTAGCCATAGTAGTGAAAAAGATTTCAAATAAAGGAAAATGCTGCCAGGCTCTTAGTGTAACTTCAGCCAGTCAGTCAACTCAGAAGATTTTAGGACCATCACATTTAATGAAATGCTAACATACCTACTGTAGATTGCTGTACCTCTGTATCACAAAGCCAAAACCAAATCCTCATTATGCTTGGAAGATAAACACAAGGTGATTCTGAGTCATTAGTACAGATTACGTCCTTGGTTGTTGAAAGTGAGAAAGAAAAGTAAAGGATTTCTGTAAATCTCTTTTATTTGAACAGATATACAGTATTTATTTATTGATTATTCAGTACATGCACTTATATAGCTCTGTCAATTTACACAGCGCTTTACACATATTTTGTACATTCACATCAGTCAAAGGTATTTTAAAAATCACAAATCCTTTAAGACAAAGGTCATTGAACTAAACTTTTACTGTAAAGCATATTAATGTCTGAAGTTTCAATTTTTCTCATAGACCCGACGACACTTCACATTACCATATGTGCAATTCTATAGGGAAAAAAACAAATATTAGTCAAATTAAAAATAAAAGAAAAAAAGAGAGTTAAAGTGAGCCCATGCTTTGCTCATGCAGAGACAGGTTCTCTTAACTGCCAACACCAGCAGCATGTATTTACCTTTCCTTTGCTTCCACTGCTCTGTTCAAATGCCATGCCAGGAGTAGAAGAAATACCTAGTACTCCTAGGTATGATGAGACAGCGCTGGTCCTTTTTATTTGCCACTCAGGGAGCTAGCACTGTCACATGAGTCTGGGAAGAACTCATGGTGGCCAGAGAGTGTGAGGAGCATTAGAAAGGTAAGTATGTGCAACTTGCAGAAGCAAACTAGGATGACTTTACAGTAGTACTGGAGACAAGGTTCTATAGAAGAGGTTATTTTTCTAGAGTATTCACAATGAAAAATAGCCATGGACAAGTAGAAGGGCCTTAAGTATCAGGATCTGCACTGAAAGGGGTTTGAGAAAAGTCGTGACATAAATTAGACACTAAAGCAGTAGTAAACTGCAAAAAAACAAAACAAAAAAGAATCGGGCCCCTGTAGGATAATGTCATAAACTGCTGTCACTGATTACTGGACTTCCATCTTCAACCGATCTTCCTTCTGGGTTCACAGGCTCCGGCCATTTGAATGGCTGAGCCACAATGACGTCATTCCCGCACATGTGCCGTAGACGTCACTAGCTGCTACACTTGTAAAGATCTCCTAAACAGTGCACATTTAGGAAATATTTACTGTACCTACAGGTAAGCCTTATTATATTCTTACCTGTAGGTATAAATAAAAAAAGGTGACTTTACCACCGCTTTAACATTTACTTTCAATACAGGGTAATAAACATATTTCTGTCACAACAGGTTTCCTTAACCGCTTGCCGCTCGCCTCGCATAAGAATATGGAGGCAGAGCGTCTCTCCTATGCAGGATCATGTGTCTACTATGTGATCCGGCACTCCCGGGGAGGGGATATATGCATGCCAGCTGTGCTGTGATTAGCCAATGATTGACTGCTGGCACTCGCTGATCAGCGAGGAGGAAGACAGGGCCGAGCTCTGTCAATGTAAACAATACAGAGCTCTGTCCTATTAGTGGGAATGTGCTGGTTTTTTGTTTCCCTGAAAAGCAGGGAATAAAAAATCAGCACATACCTTAGTGAAGGCACCTCACAGTACACACATAAACACTGGTTAAGTGCATATTTAACTTTGTTCACCCTAGATGTCTAACCCTTTACCAGCCACTGTTTTTAGTACAGTGACAGTGTATAATTTTAGCACTGATCACTGTGTTAGTGTCACTGGTTCCCACAAAGTGTCAAAAATGTGAGATTGCCAGCCATATTATCGCAGTCCCGCTATAAGTCTCTGATCACCTTCATTACTAGGATGAAAAAGTAAATAATTAAAAACTCCAGTATAAATACCATAGTTTGCAGATGCTATAACTTTTGTGCAAACCAATCAATATACGCTTATTGGGATTTTCTTACCAAAATGATATAGCAGAATACATATTGGCATAAATTTATAAAAAAAAAAAAAAATTTTAAATTTATTTATTTACACTGTTTCTTTTTTTTTTTTTTTGTAATCACTTTTATTGCTGTCACAAGGAATATAAACATCCCTTGTGACAGCAATAGGCAGTGTCAGGTACTCTTTATGAATAGATCTGGGGCCTATTAGTCCCCAGACCTCTCCTCTGTCCTAAAAGTATCTGTACCACACCAAAAGTAAAAGTACCATGCCAAGATCAGTATGATCAGATACTTTCCCATGTTAAAAATGGCGCTGTTTACATCCTGGAAACCAGAAGTGACAATAGTACTCGATCTTTTCGTGCGTCATAAAGGTCATTGAAGACTTTCTGGCCCTCTGATGGCCCTATGAAAAGCCAGCAAATGCACTGTCTTCAGTTCTGGGTTTTCTGGTGAGATGGAGATCTCGGAGAGACACCTGCGGGCGGTGGGAGAGAGAAGCGACCCCTTACTGCCATCTGTAAAAGCCATCCAGCGGCTATTCAGCAGCTTCGATGGCTTTTACAAAAAAAAAACAGCTTCCAGAGGAAAAAAAAAACGATTCCATAATGATGCCTGCATGAAGACATGCAGCTGAAGTCTACTCTGCGCAAGAGATGGACTGTGAACTATTACACTTGAGGGGCTAAAGATCCTTCTCTGTGCTGTTTCCTTCATATGCATTGCAGCTTTTCTGCAATTAAAGAAAAACCTAAATGCCAGTTGCCAGTAAAATAGTTGTGCATTGAAAAAGTGTGTTATTTGAATAAATTGTGAATTTCTTGTTGATCAAACCCTTGTACTCATTATGAATTCATGGATCAGGTAGGGCAGAACTATCTACATTTACTAAAATGTCAGTTTATACAAAGGCCCAGATTTTTTGGCAGAAAACATTGAGTGGGTCATATAGCAAAAAGGCTTCTAACGAAGTCAACCTCTAGTCTAGAGGTATTCATATATATTAAAGTGTATCTATAGCCAAAACCTGTCCGACATTGGTGTGCGACTCCAGCCACAATTAAATTGCACAAAAATAGTGCAGGAACCTTTTTCTAAGTCTCTATGACTTGAGTGACACCGATTAGAATGGTTCCATTGCCAGTCATGGGGTGCGACATATCAAACGACTTTGACATGAGTACTGTCAGGGCGCATTGATACCCGATGCCTCCCCTGTAGTTCAGGCTGCTCTCTGTTACATCACTACAAAGGCTGTAGGAGGGCGAGGAAAGCGTGTGTAGCGTGTTTTCCTCCCTCATCAGTAGCTATTGATTGCAGAATGTTGTAGCAAGGTGAGCTTTGTGCAGCATACAATACATGTGCTGCTACTAATCCTAACTGTACTCCACTGATCCCTGCCAGCTCTCCTCTTCTGTCCATCCCAGGCACTTGACATCACCTGGGATAGATAAGGGTGGAGAGCTGGCGGGGATCAGCGCACCAAATCCGACATGTACCAGCAACTGCCCTGAGCAGCTCTGCATGTGGAAGAAATTAAACAGTACTACAGACCCCTTGTGCCCTGACCTAGTGACCCTCCTGCTGTTCTCTGTCCTTTTGACACCCTTGCTCCCTGCCCTGTTGTCCCCTCTGTACCCTGACTTGTTGAACCCAATGCCCTGACCTGTTGAACCCCCTGTGCCCTGACCTGATGACCCCCCTGTGCCCTGACCTGGTGACACCCCTGTGCCTTGACCTGGTGACACCCCTGTGCCCTGACCTGGTGACTCCCCTTTTCTCTGCTCTGGTGACCCCCCTGTGCTCTGCCCTGGTGACCCCCCGTGCTCTGCCCTCGTGATCCCCCCCATGCCCTGACCTGGTGACCCCCCCCCGTGCCCTGACCTGGTGACACCCCCGTGCCTTGACCTGGTGACTCACCTGTGCTCTGACCTGTTGACTCACCTGTGCCCTGACCTGGTGACTCCACTGTGCTCTGCCCTGGTGACCCCCCTATGCCTGACCTGGTGACCCCCCCCGTGCCCTGACCTGGTGACCCCCCCCCGTGCCCTGACCTGGTGACCCCCCTGTGCCTTGACCTGGTGACACCCCTGTGCCCTGACCTGGTGACTCCCCGTGTACTGCCCTGGTGACCCCCTTGTGCTCTGCCCTGGTGACCCCCCCATGCTCTGCCCTGGTGACTTTCCCATGCCCTGACCTGGTGACCCCCCCCCCGTGCCCTGACCTGGTGACACCCCGTGCCTTGACCTGGGGACTCACCTGTGCTCTGACCTGTTGACTCACCTGTGCCCTGACCTAGTGACTCCACTGTGTTCTGCCCTGGTGACCCCCCTGTGCTCTGCCCTGGTAACCCCCCTGTGCCCTGACCTGGTGACCCCCCCGTGCCCTGACCTGGTGACCCCCCCGTGCCTGACCTGGTGACACCCCTGTGCCTTGAGCTGGTGACTCACCTGTGCCCTGACCTGATGACTCATCTGTGCCTTGACCTGGTGACTCCCCTGTGTTCTGACCTGGTGACCCCCCTGTGTTCTGATCTGGGGACCCCCCCCCCATGCCCTGCCCTGGTGACACCCTTGTGCCCTGACCTGGTGACACCTGTGTGCTCTGACCTGGTGATTCCTCTGTGCCCTGACCTAGTGACTCCTCTGTGCCCTGACCTGGTGACTCCCCTGCCCTGATGTGGTGACTCCTTTGCACTTTATCCCTGGTGACCCCCATCTTTTTGCCCTGACCTAGTGACTCCCCTGTGCCCTGCCGTGGTAACTCCCCTGTGCCCTGATATGTTGACCCCCACTGTGTTCTGACCTGGTGACCCCTCTATGTTCTGCCCTGGTGACCCCCCCCCCCCCTGTGCCTCTGCCCTGGTGACCCTCCTGTGCCCTGCCCTGGTGACACCCTTTTGCTTTGCCCTGGTGACCCCCCTGTGTTTTGATCTGGTGACCTCTCTGTGTTCTGCCTTGGTGACCACCTTGTGCCTTGTCCTAGTGACTCAGCTGTTTCTTGACTTACCCCTGGTTCACATATCTGCAGCGTTTTGCACGGGCACAAGAGCCCATTCATTTGAATGGACTCCCGTGCCCCGGGACATGCAGGAAGAAGTCCCTGTACTTTTTTGGAAACCACAGCCCCCATGGGGAACCAAGGTTCTCAGTATGATTGCGATTTCCAGTGTGGGTGGCATGCCATTAGAATTATTGGCACCTGCCCGTGGGTCCCGCATTGCTCTGTGCGGGTGGTGCGGCTGCAGGTATTTTTGTGCGGGTCCCGCAGCCGCACCACCCACAAATATGTGAAACTAGCCTTAATGACTGCCCTGTGCTGTGCCCTTGTGACCCCTATGAGTTCTGCCCTAGTGACACCCCTGTGCCCTGACCTGGTGCCCTCCTGTGCTCTGCCCTGGTGACACCCCTGTTTAGTTTCAGTTGAAATTCATGTGTGCATATCCCAATTTCGACCCAAAATTCGACCCATCTGTGCAGAAAAAATAGCCAGCCCAAATTTCACAGCAAGGAAGTTTTAATATGTATTCTATTATTTAATGCTATTTCTAAAAATAATCATTGTCATATCAACAGCTCGCTGATCACACCGATGTTCCGTGAGCTGTAGATCTGAAAATTATTTCAGGGGTTCCCGAGATCTCTGACTTTTTGCCAGGGGTTCCTCGATGGCAAAAAGGTTGAGAAACACTGCTCTGGACATTTGATATTTCTGGGTTTAGAGGTCCTCTCTTAACAGTATTAGAGATATTAAAAACTTTTTTTTTTTCTAGTGTTTAGGCTGTTTCAGCAATGCACAAATAAAAAATGTCAAAGCCATGATGCTTACCGTTATCATTTGATCATTTTGTACTTCTCGTGTAATAATGGATTCCTTGCAATCCCACTTTTGGCTTTGTATCAATTTCCCGTCCTCTAGTGTAAAGATAGTCTGTAACATACAAAAAAAAAGCATTCTACTGTGTTACTATTAGAGGTTTCCCAAAAGAAATTGGGATTGTCTTACAAATAGAGGTATGCCAGACTGAAACATTCGTTTCATTTCGGATTAGTTTAAGTTAATTTTTTTTTTCATCATATTTGGTATGTTAGATTAATTTGTTTTCAGAATTTATTTTGTATACTTGGGATTTGTTTTGCATATCAAATTGATCCAAAATTAAAGTTTTTGGAAGACGGCTATATTTGTTCTAATCTGTTCTATTTTTTTCTTTTCTATTCTGTTTTTTTCTATTCTATTTTATCCTATTCTTTTACATTTTATTCTATTTCATTTCTCATCTATTCTTCTCTATTTTCTAAAGCAGCCTAAGTAGGAATCATGACCTTTTTTCCCTTTTATACCTTACTGTATTTATTGCAATATGTTTACATTTTGAATTTGAATTCATTTTTAAATTCAAATTTGGATAATTCGTTTATTTATAATTTATTTCGGATTCATTGAAATGCGTTATATTTTTGATTCAGAAATACAGAGATACATCCAAGTCTCCAAATAATGAAAATTTTTGTCCGAATTTGGATTAGTAACTAAACTAATCGCACATGTCTACTGTATAAATAATACAATAAGATATAAGCTTACAGTGTTACTAAACCCAGGACTCTGCATTCACTATATTTGGTCTCTCACAGTACACAGAACATGGAAATGAAACCATTTTAGCAAATATAAACTGCTAAATACCTTTTCTCATCAGCAGATAGAGCAGTATAATGACTTCTAGCAGTGTCCAGCTGAGCACTGATTAACCTCCTTAGCGGTATTCCCGAGTGTAGCTCGGGGTAAAATTTCTATACCAAAAGCGGTAACCCCGAGCTACACTCGGGCTTACCATGCGGCGCTGCTCTGGGGGTCCCTGCAGCACTTACCTTGTCCTTCGCTCCCGCGATGTGTCCCCTGCAGCATCCCCGGCCATCTCCTCCGGCCACTGCCAGCATCCGGCTTCTGTGTTCCGGTCCCTGTGACGTCGGGACGTACGGGCGCCGCCGGCGGCGGGAAATTTGAAAATTTAAAAAAATGTCATTTTTGCTGTTATTGCTGTTTCAATGCATTTCACATACATTTTGTCCCTACTGCTTTGTCCTGTGCCCTGCCTGCATTTTGAATGTTCTTTCTGCCTGGAAACTTAGAAAAGTCCAAAAAGCGTCCCTTTACGTCAAAAGTGGTTTTAGAGCAGCGATAGTAAATCAGAACCACTTGCAGAATTGAGTGATAATGACTCGTGGGGAAATTCGTCATCAGACACTGAAAACGATTTTGCGACTTTGCTCAGCGATGTGCGAATTTGCCTCTGTATTTCAAATTTCAGTGTTTTTGGTTTGATTATATTATTGAATTAAATTTATTATTATTATATTATTATTTTTTATGATTATTTATTAAATTATAATTTATGATTTCGTGTTTCAAATTTTATCATATGTTTAATAGACTCTTGTTCGGACAGATTTCAGTGAGTTATTCCTAAAAATTACAGCCTACAATAAAAAACTACATATTTCCATGCAAAAAAATGGTACCGCTTTCAGCACAAAAAATTGGAAAGAATCATACCGCCAAGGAGGTTAAAGCTTGTAGGAGGAGTTTTCATTCTGTTCTTACTGTCCTGTGAGGCTGCATAAAACCACTAAACAGCTCATCCACTCCCTCATCATATCACGACTCGACTACTGCAACTCCCTCCTCACTGGCCTGCCTCGCCGCTGGCTATCCCCGCTTCAGTCCATCCTGAATACGGCTGCCAGACTCATTCACCTTTCCAACCGCTCCGTTTCCGCCACCCCCCTCTGCCAATCCCTCCACTGACTTCCGATTGCGCAACGGATCAAATTCAAAATCCTAACGCTGACGTACAAAGCTGTCCACCATACTGCCCCAAACTACATCACCGACCTAATATCCAAGTACCGCCCAGCACGCACACTCCGCTCCTCACAAGACCTCCTTCTCTCTAGTTCCCTGGTCTCCTCCTCTCATGCCCGCCTCCAGGACTTCTCCAGGGTGTCACCCATCCTCTGGAACTCCCTGCCCCAACCCATCAGATTATCACCTACTCTCCTCTCCTTTAGGCGCACCCCAAAAACCCATCTCTTCAGGGAAGCCTACACCACCCCCTGCTAACTTGCCGACCTCCTCCACTCTTCCTACCACTCCATCCCCTACAGCTATCTCCTCCTGTGCCACCATCCCCTCCCTCATAGATTGTAAGCTCAAAAGAGCAGGGCCCTCGATCCCCTCATGTTTTGCATTGTATTGGTATTGTTCTGTCACATGTTCTGTACCCCTCTGTAATGTACAGCGCTGAGCGAACTATTGGTGCTTTATAAATACTGTATAATAATAATAATAATTGTAGCATTGCCGTAAACTTGCCGAATCATGTCAAATGTCTATGTGGCAGATTTGCCCAGTTTCATGCAGAATTTCACGTTCTGCTCTAACTTGATGTCCATGATGAAATAGCAAACATGGTAACGCACGTGGTCAGAATAGCACCAGTTGCACAGCTCCCAATGTACACTGGATGATGTCTTTTGGCACAATGACATATGAAGGTCAACGCTCTCAGTGACTGTATATGCAGCCTTGTGCTGCCATCTATTGGCTTGTTACAAAACTAGTCTCAAAACTTTTTATTTATTTATTTCAGGTACTTATATAGCGCCGTCAATTTTACGCAGCGCTTACATATATATTGTACATTCACATCAGTCCCTCAAGGGGCGTACAATCTAAGGTCCCTAACTTACATTCATACATACTAGGGCCAATTTAGACAGGAATTAATTCACCTACCAGCATGTCTTTGGAGTGTGGGAGGAAACTGGAGTACCCAGAGGAAACCCACGCAGGCACAGGGAGAACATGCAAACTCCAGGCAGGTGGTGCCGTAGTTGGGGTTCGAACCAACGACCTGAGTACTGCCAGGTGGAAGTGCTAACCATTTAGCCACTGTGCTGCCCACAGGTGTTTTGATACCACCTTGTTCACAAGACATGCATGCTTTGCTATCCTGAACCTTTTTTTGCAATATTGCATCTAAATTTGCACCTGTTCAGGAAAAAATACAAGTTACAGTTACATCCTGTCTAATCATTTGTCTGATTCCCTATTCTGTTAAAGAAATACTGTTAATATTCTCACCTTGCATTTCCTTTTGTCTGCTGTGGTTTCATCAACCTCTTCATTTAGCTTAAAGCAGAGTTCTGTAGTACTAAAATTGCTCATAGTTTTTATACTCCAATTATCCCCGTTATTACTGATAATCACACCTGGTTTCAAACGAGATGCAATCATCCTGGTAGCCATATCCACACCTCCAAAAGAGTAAAATATAAAAAGCTTCACTAAACATAAAATGACAGTTATATTATATGAAAGGACAACAAAAATACTGACTTCATTATGAATGTGGGTCGCGTACACCTAAACAAAACATTCATTCTATTCTTTATGTCAGCAGAGAGCCCTGAGCCTTGGCATAATTTTAAATATGACACAAATACTTCAATTTCAGCTGAACTTTTATTGTCAAATGTTTTGTTTATTGTAGATCTATTTTGACAGCACTAAAAGGCAACTGCATTTTACTCCCACAGTTCTATAGAATTGCATTAGGTAGATCATATAGTGAAGTTATTAATCTGGAATTTATCAACAAAAGAGAACTGGAGCTGTCAGTTAACGGGAGGCAAGCGTTATGTGCGCACCACTTTTTCTTTTGTTTTTTTTACAATAGTTACAAGAGTGCCATTGGGCATGCATGCCCACATTTACTAAGACTGATAGGGTAATAAACCCAATTGATCATAATAACTAATAAACTGTGTTTTGAAAAGAAGGTAGGCAGTGGAAAAAATTTTTTGCACAGGTTTCCTTCAAATAGGTTTGTCAAGAACCCTTTGGTGAGTTCATTTTCAAGAATGTTTGCTATGGCTTACTGCAGGAAAACCAGCTGTGTGCAAACTTTAATCTGCAAGATCTTGAACATTTTCAAGCTAATCTAAAGAACAAATGTACTGTATATTAAATACAAAAAAAATTAAAAAAAATCAAAGTCAACTTGCAGTTTTGCAAGTCTAAGCAGCTGCACTGAGAAAATACAAAATGTATTCAGTATTTGGCTTACCAAGTGCCTTCATAAAGTCATCAAAGCCCTCAGACGTAACTAGTTTCCAGGAACCCTGCAGTTTCTCACACATGGTGGTGCTTTTCTGGGTGTTTGTAGGGCAGGAGGTACAGAGAACCACAGATAATGAGGAAAGATTACAGGGAGTTCCTCTTATAAGTGATACAGTAGGGCAGAACTCCAGTGATGTCACCACAAATTATTTGTGACCAGGAAAAACCTCCCTTTTTCTGCAATATATGACAATATGTATGTATTTTAAATGAGAAGATTAAAACAAGAAATGGCTTGTTGTCACCTACCTTTCCCAGCGTGGCTCCACACCCACACTCAGCAACATTTATCAATTACATTTTTCACTTTCACTGAGAAAACCAGTTTTGTTACTAGTATGTACAAATCTCTGGTCTACCAATGGCTTATCCATTATTTATTAGCTGCCTAATCTGAGAATCTTGTATTGCAAAAATAGAGAGGTTGTCATTACCAACCTCTCTTTCTAAATGTAATAATTTGCAGGCTTTCATGTTGATCCAGTGACTTTGGTGCTTTTGAATCACTGATTTCACTCTGACTTTTTTAAAAAAGTGTTACATAAAGAGAATTCATGGCAGTTTAATCGAGCTTGGCACATACAAAAGATGTGTTCCTGGCTTTTTTGAACGAAAAAGTACATTCAACATCAATGGTCTTTCTTTCTGTATAGGTTGGAACTATACACTGAGCTATACTGGAGCTGCATAAATAAGGAAGAAAACTAAGGGAGGAGGTACAATGAGAAAATAAAACATATCAA